TTGGTAAGGAGCCAGTCCTACGTTTAACAGCCAGCTCCTGCCCTGCCCAAGTGTCATCTGCACCTGCCAATGGGAAACAGTTCTTACCCATCAGATAATGGCTGAGAGGAAATTGCTTCAAGGAGGCGACATTCTAGGATGGCAATATGGAGATGTGAAATATATTCAAGGAGGAGGAGGAAGAGAGAGACCTGGTCCTTGAAAAGGCACAAATTAGCATTGACATACACATGCGCTCACACATACACACACAGAGGCACATATAAATACACTCATGCGCACACATTTTTATATTTGCCACGCACACACGCAAGGAGGCTATACTTAATCTTCCCTGCTTTGAATAATATAACCGTCCTAGAGAGAATCAAATTTATTCACAGCCTGCACTACCAAGCAAATTTGTATTTACCTCACCTGATTTAGTAACAGCCAAGAAGCCATGGGAATATGGATTATACATCCTCGCTGCGAACGCACTGAAACAAAGAGATTTTCACTAGTGTAGTATCTTCAGTGACCAGTTCAGCAGTGACGTGGAAAATGAAAATCAAAGTGAAAGTCAAATAGGGATATGTCAAGTCAAATATGGCGCCTGCAATCATCACAGACAGAATATCACCGGAGGTTAATGCGCAGGCCTGCTGATCTTTTGGGGCCCTCATCCATACAGCTTAAGGCAGTGAAATTCAATATGAAGCATGAAATGTGGAGTAGTCGCCATAATTAGTATAGTGGATCCTTTACCAACAGAAAGTATAAAGCACGCACCAACTCCGCGGTGAGGGGAGGGGAGGGGAGCTGATTTCAAGTAGAATCCAGTTGTTTAGTAAAGTTTTTTTTTTTTGAGGTCGGGAGTCTCTGCTCTAATTAGCCTTGTCAGAACTACATGTTTCCTCAAAGAGCTGCTTCAAATATTGATTTGTCATTTATTAGTGATGGAGCTAAAGATCTGTGTCTTGTCTGAAAACTCCTGTGGAAACGTGCATATGCTTTCAGGATTTGTAACTGCTTGCAAGTCATGTGGCGTTCACATGGCAAAGTTTCAACCTGTAGATGGCACTCTCATCCCTGGTTTTAATCCAAACCCTTTAAGGTCGACTCCCCATTTTACTATGACTGGCCTCAGTTCCGAAACCTGTTTTGCTTTGTTTGTCATTATGATTCTTTGGCAGGCATTTTGTTAGAGGAGGTGAGATAGGATTTTCTGTTTTTCACTCACTGCTTAAATCATAATGACAAATATTCTATGCAGCAGTAGCATACCTGTTTGTACATATGGTCAAAGCTTATTCAAAAAATGCTTATGCATAATGAAGTGCAGCTAGCAACTGTTGTTCCAATCGTTCTGAGGCAGCGAGCATTAGTTACACAGTGGGGAATGGTTGGAGTTGAGTGGGGGTAGAGGAACCTCAGCCAAACATGATTTGTCTCTGAATACTAATGCCTCTTTTGATCTGCCTCGGCTTTTAGGAGATTTAAACAACAAAATCTGTCTTTCCAAATTTCTTAATAGACTCAGCCTTTTGTGGCCAACATGAAGAAATCCTAGATACATGTTTACACGGCATCCATATTAATGTTCTGGATTTGTTTAAAACATGTGGAGTCCACTGAGATCTAATTACAGGGAAACCCTGTATTATTCATGCTTGGCCCTAATAGACTAATTAATTTATCATAAAATAGTAAGCCATTTTTATGATTTTCTTATGTTATGCATTTATTTCCATAATTGATCTTTGTTTTACAAATATATCTTTTTAAGTTTCCCCTCACATGTCCTACATTCAGTAGCTGAGCAAAAGGGATTTCATCCTTCCTGAAATGATCTGAATGCATTAGTAACACAGCTGAGGTAAAAAAAAAAAAAAAAAAGAAACTAACAGGAAGAAAAGACAATTAGACCTAATAACATCAAGGCTACAAGTACCTATGTGATTTATATGGCCCTAAAAGCTATTTAGGAGCATATTGTGACAGAATGTTAAGTGCGATTAGGGACAGTATGTTAAACATTTGGCCAGTTGTAATCATTTGGAAAGCTGTGTGGATGAGCTGTGGTTGGGGGGGATATCTGTGCCTGTAACGCCGCAGGAGGTGCCAAAAGCAACAGAGACCACCAGTCAGTCTGACTATTTGGCACCTCCGCAGCTGCTGCTCACATGCTTCCACCCTCTCGTCTACACCAAGGGCCAGCACCAAGCACAGGATAATCTTGTTTTATCTGCCTTTCAGACAGCCCAAATGGCCCAGATTAAACCCTCCACATGACCCTCACGGCCAGAGCGGTGACATGTATACCCCCAGTTTATTAGAGCACCTAAGGTTAAAGTGAGATGAGGAAACTGATAAGGGCCCTGGCCTGGAAATGGCTGCATGAGTTTCCAGCCTCAGCAAAAAAAACATAGCCTGTGCCTATCTAAATGTAATAAATTCCTACTCTGTGTCATGAATACAAGTCTATCTTCCTTCAAGGTTGCATAATTATCAAAAGAAGCTATTTAGGTATTAGCAGCAGGTCACTGGAGAACAACATGCTACTATAGTCAAATTTCAGACAAAATTCATAGTTCTGCTACTTTTACATCTGAACTCTCTCAGTATTAGTAAACATGAGATTTGTAATGATAATTTTCAGATTCCATAAGAGACTTTAAAAGTGTAAAAACTTATTTATGGTGGAAATTGAACGGTCTAAGATTGGTGAATTTCTTCAGCGTTTAAACTATAGCCCATGCTTTATCTTTGACAGCATGCAACACCTGCTCGTTACTACATCTACATGTCACGACAGTCACTTAATTCAGTGGTGTAGCATACAGCACAACAGTCATGGCGGTGTTGTCATGAACTCGAGCCAGAGCTATGAAAACAAAACTGATTAGTGCTTTTAATTGTATCATGTTTTAGTTGCATGTTTGTATTTCATACAATGCGGCCAGTTTGTATTTTGTCCGATTACATAACTCTATTTTTGCAGCTCTACTCTGTTTCTGTGTTAATTTGTTCATTTATTTGCAGGCATATGGTGTTTAAAGTTTTATGACAGAATAAATCCAGTCAAACCACAACTCATATATAAAACCCTAATCCTCACTGTTCACCTGTTGATTGCTGTAACTGTATGTTTTGACAGTGCCCACAGAGTAAACCTCTGTGACACTGACAAAATTAGACAGTGAAACATACAGAAGAGAAAACAATAAACATCTAAAAATAGGATTCTTGGAAGTGTTTTACTGAGATATATAGCAACTTGGAGGAAAAAAAAAACTGCCTGACAATTTTCTAGCAGTGGCTGACATGGTGGCTGTTATCCAAAAGGTGGGCCTTTGAGACATTTGTTCCCAGTGGCATATGCCAGGATTACTGCTCCCAGTGTCAGCAAATGCTTCTCCTGCCTTCCTACCTGGTGGCGTGTGAGGTGGAGAAAACACAATCTTCAAATGGCCCTCAAATGATGTCAAAGGCTGGCTGATATCAGACTGATTTCTGACCATCATTGTGGTTACTGTGATGTTGACTGCCAAGGCAAGATTAACAGTATTCTTACCATTAATTAAAATCATCTCAGTGAGGGGAACAGATGGCCAAAGCCATTAATCTGCTGTAATGCTCTTACTGTCACCACACACGTCTTAATCAAGCCGTGATCTGCATTAATCACCTGACTTAAGTGACAAACAAGTATCACTCCTGTGTTAGCCTGGCTTTGTTGCGGTGGGACCTCTGGTGACCTTGTAGTGATGTATTGATTAAAGAAAATACTTTGGACACGAGTAGGTGATGTTTTGTATTGAGGCAGGCAGCTCCAACACAGCCCAGGTTACATGAATAAAATAGTAAACCAACTACTTATCACGGCGTGTACAGCTGCTGGTTTCATCATTATGTCTGTGCTTTAATTTTAGACAGGAATATTTTCATCTACAGCTGCTCAGTTGTTACCTTGTAACCGTTGCAACACAAAGTGGTGAGTGCGTGAGACATTTGATAAGATTAAAGTGTAATCCGCTTAGTGGCAAACAACTAATTTGTCTAATAATTCTGCATTACCTTCTGACTCCTCGTACCCATAAAATCCTGGATTTCAACACCCAGCCAGCATGAGACTATTGTGCTGAGGGCTTTGTGCGTCTGGTAATGGCAGAAAAGTATCTTATGTTTGATCCCCCTCTGGCTTGGCGCTCGTATGTTCAGCATGATCTTGTTTTTAATAAAGGGTGAAAACAGAGATAGTGAGCGAATAAACATAACCAAAAAGGACTAGATTATGAGCCATAGAGGCAACATTTGTTAAGTTTGCACTCAACTCAACATCAGAATATTTCTTACTCAGTGTCGAGCACCTCAAAGTGATGATGTGTTGCTGTCGCACCTCTGAGATTAAAGACTTAAATTAAGTTTTGCATCGGTCTGCCTTAGCGCCTCGCCCAAAGTTCCACTTAATTTGATGATTGTACTACAAGCTTCAGCGTTGGGGAAAGCCACTTGTTGATTTGGTGGCTTTTGGATTTGAGAATAAACTATAAACATTTACTTCTGCTGTAATGTAATCTGACTGAAGCACATTCCAAGTTCAATATGTAAATACTGCAGCTTTTCAATGGCATACATTACACATTGGCAAACTCTGCAACCAAGTGTTTTAACAGTTTGCTACTGTTGTTCTTAACACTGTCTGGTGTCCTTGCCAAAAATAACAGGCGCCATTATTTTACAGAGAAAATCAGTTTTCACATTTGGTTTACAAGCAAAAACTGGACTTGTGTAACACTTGAAATATGGCAGCAGAGAGCTCCTTATCACCTCTCACTGCACAGCATCACAAGTATCTCTGACATGGGCCTTTATTGTGTGGTTTTTAACACCTTCCTGTATGTGCCCTTTGGGGAGGCTCAGACAAATTTAACCCAAACTTTTGTGAGGTGTCAAGAGCCCTTTGAAGAGCCTTAGACACCTTTTAATCAGCAGAGGCTAATCACCCATATGGTTGACAACGGGAGCTGTTGTTAGTGTGTGTGTGCGTGTGTTTGTATGTGTGTCTGTGATGGGGGAGGTGGAGATCATTCACTGTAGTTTTTTTTCTTTTTCTCCTGACTCTTATCTATTCTTCTGACTTCCTATTTTAAAAAATAGTGTTGAAAAAGGTCAGTTAAGTGCAATTGAGTGTTTATTACAATACCAATGATCCTGATTATACAAGTCGTTTTTTTTCCCCCCTCTACCACAGCACCACAGAGATATATTCTCTATGTAATTAACATTGTGGGTGTCTAAAACACAACACTAATCAAATGACACTTGTCTGGCTTTGTGGGTTTTCTTAAACACATTACACTGAAATGCCTCCTCCGCCATTTGAACGGGTGAGACAGTGTCAACGCCTGCTGAACAGACAGAGAGATTTCTGCTGATAATTTATGGGCAATGTTTACATGAGCAGATATGAGTGGGAGGGAAGGAAAAAGTTATATTAACACATATGGATTTGTGGTTTGTTTATTAATCCTAACTGTCAGAGGGAGTACACTGATTATAAGTGCATACAACAATGAAAACCATCATCCTCCATTATCAGCTGTTTTCTCCAGTTTCCTATTCTGCCTTTTATCCTGCTTTTATCCAGTAGGTGCAAAGTAACTTTGTATATTAACATGAGCACTTAAGCATAGTTTTAGGTTCCTCTTTTATTTTATGTAATGCCACCACATTTCAGAGGGATTTATTGAACTTTATGCTGTGCTAAAGTTCTTACTTTGCATATGAAGGTTAGATAATCTTATAAAATATGATGCACTGTTAAAAGACCCTGCAAATATAAAATAATTCAAATTAGGTCCATCTATAACGACATTAAAGTGCTGCTCACGCGTTAAAACATCAATGATTCAATATATTATATGTTTTATAAACCACCCTGAAATCAGTGATTGTGCATTTTTTATACTTTTATTTATTTATTTTTGAACTTGAATAATGAGTATTTTTTACATTGTGGTATTATTCTCACTACTCCTTCCACCACTATTTTTTGCACCTTACATTTTGAAAATGGCAAAAGTACAGCAAAGCAAAGGTTTAGGCTACCTATAGAGCTCATACTGCTTTCTGATGTTGTGAGCCTTTGTTAACTTTTGCAGCAATTCCCGACAGTTATTATTTCATTGATGTGGATTTTTCTTCTTGCATTATTTAGCTCTTTGCAGCCCAGTTTTTGCATAATTTCCTCTAACTGGGTGACTAACTCACACAATCAATCCTCCATGCTTTCAGCAGCCAGACTTCAACTTCCACTGATGGCATGTAGTCCAATTAAATTCAGTCCTCTAAGTGATTAATTAATTCATTTCTATGTGCAGATTTATTCAAGCACTACTGTTATCAGCCTGATTAAAGCTCCACAATCAGTTTATCTAATCAACCATTTGCACCCCAAAAGTGTGAACAGCAGTTTTCTGCAGAGACAGACGTCTTCCCTTTTGGTGGACCACTAGAAGGCCATTGGTCGAGGGGGCAGGCTATTTGCATATACCGGGGCTTATAGTCCCACAGCAAAGTCAGAGTTGAGCAGTGTTGATTGGACCTGACAGAGCTCAAGTGATTGCCCCATTTATGACTCGACTGGGCAGTTTTTTTATAGCCACTCAACATGGGATTCTGCGAGATTTCAGGACTTAGACCGTGCATGGTGCTTGTTTTATTTTTATACACTGTTCACTGTACAACTACAAAGTATTTCACCTATGAAGAGGATGCCCCAGGGACGGAGATAGGCAATTTGTCCCAAGATTTAAAGATTGATCCAGCTGATGACCCTGACACGTCGTTCCGCTTCATGCAAGAAAACAACTCCTCTGTGATTCAAATGAGGGAGATCGACGGACTTCTGAGTGTGGCAGAAACAATTGATCGAGAGCAGCTCTGCCCCAGGTCCCCGCGTTGCTTCATCGCCTTCGACATTGTGGCCTTCTCCAGAGAAAAGTTTCAACTCATCCACGTCGAGATCGAGGTGAAAGACATCAACGACCACTCTCCTCATTTTCCGCGCAACGACACGCATCTGGAGATAGTGGAGAATGTTCCACTGGACTCAAGGTTTCCGCTACAGATCGCCCTCGACCAGGATGTGGGTGAAAACTACATTCAGAGCTACAACATTTCTCCCTCCAGTCACTTCGCCGTGGAAGTGCGCGACAGAGAGGATGGAGTGAAGTTTGCAGAACTGGTGCTGGTGAGGGAACTCGACAGGGAGGTGGAGGACTCCTACACTATCGAAGTCACTGCGTTTGACGGGGGAGTGCCTGCAAAGTCCGGGTCAATGACTGTAAATATCAAAGTGCTGGACTTCAATGACAACAGCCCGACGTTTGAACACAGCTCTCTGAAAGTTGAGCTGAATGAAGACTCTCCGGTGGGTCACCGAGTTCTCAAAGTGCACGCGTTTGACCCGGACGACGGCATTAACGGCGAGGTGATGTACGCGTTTGCTGATGGGCTGTCACCTGAGGCTGCGCGCCTCTTCCACGTCGACCCTTATTCCGGTGACGTGACCTTGAAGGCGCTGGTTGATTTTGAGAAGAAGAGGTCATACGAGCTGAACATCAGAGCCTCTGATTTAGGCGCGAACTCTGTCCCGTCCAACTGCAAAGTTGTGATAGACATCGTGGACGTGAATGACAACGCGCCTGAGATTAGCATCAAACCGATGACCTCCAGCAGTGATGGAGTCGCCTACATCACTGAGGCTGCAGCCGCAGAGAGCTTCGTGGCTCTGATCAGCACCTCGGACAGAGACTCTGGCTCCAACGGGTACGTGCGCATCAGCCTGCTCGGGCACGAGCATTTCACCCTCCAGCAGGCTTATGGGGACACTTTCATGATTGTTACCACCACTACTTTAGACAGAGAAAGGATCCCAGAGTATAACTTGACGGTAGTTGCAGAAGATCTTGGAAGCCCTCCTTTTAAAACTGTTAGACAGTACACCATCCGTGTAACAGATGAGAATGACAACCCCCCTCTCTTCAGTAAGTCACTTTATGAAGTTTCAGTCCTGGAAAATAATATCCCAGGTTCATATGTGACCACTCTTGTTGCCCGAGATCCTGATGTGGGAAAGAACGCCAAAGTGTCTTATAAACTCATAGATTCAGAGGTGGAAGGAGGATCCCCAGTTTCCACTTATGTGTCTATAGATGCACTCTCAGGGTCTTTGTTTACTTTAAGGTCTTTTGATTATGAGACTCTTCAACAGATTGAGCTGGTAATCCAAGGAGAAGACAGAGGTTCCCCCTCTCTTTCAAGCACATCAACAATCAGGATTAGAGTTGTGGATCAGAATGACAACTATCCATACTTCACCTTCCCCGTCCTCCTGAATGACTCTGCTGATATCCCCTTGCCTTTTAATGCACCTTCTGGCTATCTCGCCCTACGTGTATCAGCTGAAGATGGGGATGAGGGAATGAATGGCGAGCTCTCCTACCAAATCGTACAAGGTGATTCAAAGCTTTTTACAATGAACAAAGACACTGGAGAGATTGCTTTGAAACAATGGCTGACAGCTGAAATTGGAGACGTGCTGGAAATTAAAATCGCGGTGAGTGACAATGGCAGGTCCCCGCTCTCTAGCAGTGCCACTATTAGGTTTGTTGTCTCAGACACAGAGCCCTCTGAAGACCAGGTCGTCATTGTGTTGCGGTCAAGTGGTGATGAAGAAGGCTTCGGTTTGGATGGCTCACTAATTATCATTATTATGCTCAGCGGGGGTTGCGCATTGTTGCTGATTGCAATAGTGGTTGTTGTTGTCACATGCAAACTCAGCCGTGGGGGGAGAGGCCGCGGCACCAAGAGGGAAGTGTGTCACAGCCTATTCGACAGCAGGCCTCTGCCCATGCTCGGCTCCGCAGAACCAAACATATACACGGGTCAACGAGGCTTCTTCCACGAGAGGACCTCCTCATCTCTGGATGATTCCTGCCTGTATGAGCAGAGGAGTGGGGACTCAGAGACAAAGGTGAGTCAACTACAGCAATATTCTTTCATCTTTTATTTTCATATGCACATGATGTTCCCAAGTGCTGCCTTGATCTTTGTGCCAGAAATGGAAACTAAGCTCTCTGCTGTCATTTTGTTCGTTCTCTTAGATGTTCCTGCCCTCCAAGCATTTCCAACCAACGTCTGTGTGGCAAGGTGACAAATACTGCTTGCAAGTGAGGTAAGACAACTAAATGTAATTTCTTTTCTCAGATAGGATATGTTTTATTCACAGTCAAATCTCACTTAACAGAGAGGGTACTTAACATGCGCCATGCATACAATTTGCTGCTTGTGGCACTCGTGTGGAATGAGGTTAGATGGGTAGCAAAGAGACAGACAGACCTTCGATGCAAAAAAAAAAAAAAAATTTGACTGGTGAATAAAACATATCCTATCTGAGAAAGAAATTAACATTTAGGTTGTGCTATAGCTGCTCGAGCCTATTGGGCAAAGCAGTATTTGGTCACCTTTTGCCACACAGACCGTCTGTTGGAAAGTGTCTTGGGAGGGCCAGGCACACATCTAAGAGAACGAACAAAATGACAGCAGAGAGCTTAGTTTCTACATTTTCTGGCACACAAGTATTAAGGCAGCAGCTTGGGATATATCATGTGCATTATGAAAATAAAAGAATGAAAGAAATATTGCTGTAGTATGATGAGACCTTTAGTCTAACTCTAGAGTCCCCACTTCTCTGCTGCATACATGGCAGGAATCATCCAGAGATTGACGGAGGGAGGGTCCTCTCGTGGAACGAAGGCTCGTTGATACGCCGTGTATGCATGTTTGGTTCTGCGGAGAGAGCCGCGAGTGGAGGAGGCCTGCGTGTCGAACAGGTCTGTGACACACCAGCTCTTGTGCACCGCAAGGCGGCTCTCCGCTCCCCACGGGCTGACGTTTGCATGTGAACAACAACAACCACTATTAGAGCACAATCAGCAAACAATGCCAACCAAAGCCCGCTGGAGCAGTAATAATGATAATTAGTGAGCCATCCAACCGAGGCCTTTCTTACATCAGCCACCTTGACCGCAGACACAATGGACGACCTGGTCTTCAGAGGGCTCGTAGTGTGCTGAAGCACAAACTAGTGAGTGCAGAGCTGCTAGTGCGAAGACAATGCTCGGATTTTTGATCACGCAATTTTAATTGTCCAGCACGTCTCCAATTTCAGCTGGTCGCCATTGTTTCAAATGCAATCTCTCCAGTTGTCTTTGTTTCCCATTTGTAAAAAAGTTCTTTGAATCACCATGTGGTCGATTTGTTAGGAGAGAGCGTCGCATTCATTCCCCTCATCCCATCTTGCAGCTGATACACGTAGGGGCGAGATAGCAGAAGGTGCAGTTAACAGGCAAAGGGATATTCAGCAGCAGTGTCAATTCTCAGGGAGGGACGGGGAAGGGCTGGAAGTGAGTGGATCAGTGTGCATTCTGATCCACAACTCCTAATGCCATTGATTGTTTAGATGTGCTGGTTGAAAGAGAGGTGGAACCTTCTGTCTTCTCCTTGGATTAACCAGCTCAATCTGTTTGAGTAGTGAGTCCCTCAAGTACCT